TTTTAAAAATTAAGACAAATAAATACTATTTTTATTATTTAATTTATTATTTGAGATATGAAAATTTTACTTATTAAATTAAGAGAAATATTGATATTGAAAAAACTAGTCACTAAATTAAGAGGGGATATTGATATTGAGGGGAGCTTCTCCTTTCAATGGTGGGAGTTCTATTAGTTGACTGTTAGTATTCGTTAGTTTTTTTTGTTAATAGAACTAACAAATAAAATTGAATGTAAATTTAATATTTTTTATAATAGAATGATAACGGATATTAACAATCAACTAACAAAACTAATAAAATATTATAATTTGATGTTAGTTAAGGTCTATTTTCTTTAATTTATATTGATAAAGGGCTAAAAATATCATAATATAAGGTAAGGGATTAAAATCTACTAATTTTATAAAGTGAATGGCTAAAATTTACCAATTTTATAAAATAAAAGGCTCAAATTGTTATATTATAAGGTGATAAACTAAAATTTATTAATTTTATAAGATGAGAGGCTAAATGTTGGTTTTTAGCTGTTACATTCAAAAATTGACGCTTACGTGGTTGACGTGACATGTCTTTAAACGTTTTATATTGTTTTAAAAAGGTTAAATCCTCAATTCGGTTCTTGAATTATTGTACGGACTTCAATTTGGTCCTTGAATTAAAAAAATTCTTGATTTAGTCCTTAAGCTATTGTATGGATCCCTAATTTGGTCTCACTGTTTATCAATTTATTCCAAGTTGGTTTTTCTGTACAAAAACAACTGACATGCCTCGTTATTAATATGACACTTACTATTAAGTTATTGTTTTTTATTGTTAAATTAATAGTTTTCGTCATTAAATAATAAACATGTTAGTTTTTTTTGTACGAAATGACTAATTAGGGCAAATTGATAAACAGTAAAAAGCAAATTGAAGGTCTATATAATAATTTAAGGATCAGATCAAAAGTCCGTATAATAATTTAAAGATCAAATTGGCGTTTAACCTTTTTAAACGGCATGGCTTTTAAAAAAAAAAAAAGAGATTCTCGCTTCCGCTGTTTTAGGGCATACTGTTTCGTACCTTAAAATAAAGATTTTTAGACTGTTCTAATATTAGAGGCTCATTTCTTTATGTGAAAGTCTAAATTATATGGTTTGGTGTACATTTTTTTTTTAAGAAACAAAAATGTGTTCACACTAATTATTAAATTTGTTTGTTAGGTGACGTGTGAACAGTAGAATAAGTTAAAATGTTAAAAATTTTAAATTCAAAACTTATCTTT